AAACCCTTAGGATCCTGCCTAGAATTGTACACCTTTTAAAAGATGCTCTTCTGGCTCCAATTTTCATCTTGTTTGAATCAGTAGGAATGGACAGTAGACAGGGTTGATTTAGGGATTTTCAACAGAGACCTGCCTTGGATACAACCTCTGGAAAGAAAGGGGGGAAAAATACAAAAGAAAAAGAAAGAAAAAAAAAGCCACGTCTGGAAAGATGGCTCATTTGGTCAGGTGAGGTCTATCTATGGCTGCTTTCCTTAATAGGGCTTCACCCTCCACCATCCTCTACCCTGCCTTCCACAGCCACAAACAGATTTCTTCATATCAGCCCCTCTGGAATCTCTACTTTTCCTTATTTTCCAGAACATGGCATGTGGAACAAGCCTCCTGTCTCTTATGGTTCCAGTGGTATATCTTTGCATTTTCAGGTCTGTTTTTTCATTCTTTTACTTGTCCCTATGGAACATGGTATGTTCCTTTCCTAGAAGGTACAAAACTCCCTTTTAGGTAAAAGCTTCCTACGTTTTATGTATCTCACACTTGCGTGGTTTTTCTTCCTAGTATTTCCTGACTCAGGTCTTGACTCTCTTTAGCCTTATCCAAATCCTGTAGTTCTTCGTTCTTTTTCTTTATTAGTCCTTTCTTTCTCTCCAAATAGAGAAGTGTTTCTATGACCCTTTAAACCCATCTTGAGCATGATGACCACAATGCACACAAGATACATCTGGTGGTTGCCTCTATGTGGACAACTGCAGACCCCTGGAACAGTATTCTCACCTTTATGCAACCCTTTTAGCCAGCTGCCCAAAATGCCTATTCCTGCTACCACCTTAACAGCCCCCATTTTAACCATCATTTTGTACCTCACCAGTCCCTTGGCTGGCCTAGTACAGTAACAATTAGTCCTGCCCTCAATTTCCATGTAAACCTCCCCTCCCGCAAAAAAAGGAAAAGAAAAGAAAAACATGTAAGGATTATAAAGCATCACAAAATTTTTCCCATCTTCCACTAGTTTAAAATTAACCACTAGCCTGCTAGCTTTCTAGGAAAATCTTCAGGAATAAGGAAATGTGTTTTTATTTCTTTAGAATAAGAAGAGTAACATCCTAAAGTATACAGGAGAGAAGAAAAAGGAGAAAACTGCTGCTGTTGCCACAACCATGGTAAGCTGATACTGATTGAAATATGGTTGCTGGTGAACCTTGAAAACGTTAGTTAAGTGGAAGAAACCAGTCACAAAAAGACTATATGTTGTATGATCCCATTTATATGAAATGTCCAGAACAGGCAAATCTAAAAAGACAGAAAGTAGATTAGTGGTTACCTAGAGCTTGGGTGGGTTAGGGAAATGGGGAAACTGGAGTGACAGCTAAAAATGATATGGGATTTCTTTTGTGGGTGATGAAAATGTTATAAAATCGATTGTGGTGATGGTTATACAACCCTGTGAATGTACTAAGAAAAACCCACTGAACTGTATGTTGTGAGTGGGTGAACTGTATGTTACGTGAATTATATCAAAGTTGTTACCAAAGTGTGTGTGTATATATGTGTATTTATTTATATATACGTACACACACATACATACATATATATATGGTTGCTTTTCAAATCATGGATTTTATGATCAGATGGAACATCTTATTTTTCCTCTAAACCCAAAACATGTTTTATTCAGAAATCACAAGAAAATCTTGTTCTGAAATAAAAGTAGTGAAATAGTAATAGTGAAATAGAAATAGCTTAGGATACCTATTATAAGTTTTAGAAAAACTTGGTAAGTGCAAAATGTGCTCCCTAAAGGATCTGTAAAAGTTGATGAGGGTGCAGGAAAGTGGGTACACTGCAGGCAAAAACAAAAATTATTGCAAGTTGAGTATCCCTTATACAAAACGCTTGGGACTAAAAGTGTTTTGGATTTTGTTTTTTTTGGATTTGGGAACATTAATGAATATTTGACCAGTTGAACTTCCAAAATGGTCCAATGAACATTTCCTTTGAGCATCAGGTAAATGCTCAAAAAGTTTCAGATTTTCACATTAGGAAATGTTCAACTTGTACAACCTCTCAAGGGGAAAATTTGGCAATAACTACTGAATTTTAGGAGATATGTACACTCACTCTGTACAATTCTACTTTAAGGATATAGAAATTTTAAAGGCCTGTGTACAAGATGGTCATAGCAACATTGTTTATGAAAGTGAAATATTAGAAACAACTAAGAGATCCATTAATAGAGGACTGGCCAAGTAGGTTATAGTACACTTACAGTGGAGAATATTGTGTAGACTTTAAAAAAAATACAAATCCAAACATTTAGCAATAGAATTATCTCCAAGATAATGTTTAAAAAGATGAGAACAATGTTCTCATTTCTGGGTTTCAAAAATATATAAATGCAAATATGTACATAAGAAACATTTGGAAGGATCTACAAATTACAGTTCACATTGGGAAAATAGGTATACTAGTATAATCCCAGCAGTGAAAACTCATGTGCAGACTAGAAAAAGGAAAGAGAGCTAGTGCCACAGTGGGCTCATTGTTTTAAGAATATTAAGTTAGAAAGGCAACTAAATTTCTGCAAATAGTCCTGCCCTCATCAGCCAGTCTCTAGATAACAACAAATACTTAGAAATTATAAGTGGAAAGAACCAGTACAATAATCTCTATTGACATTTGGGTCCTTTGAGATTGAAGTGCCAAAAATCTTAAGAGTACTACTATATATAAGTAAAATTGCATTTGATTGGGAGACAAACTAGTTTTCCCCCAAAGCTATGTGCAGTTGTGCTAGTGACAGCTTTAGAGGGAAAACTTCAAAAACCATTGAACCTGAAATTCAAGTCATCTTATCTTCTTTGCCCTTAGGCCAAAGTCCTTCGGGAAACCAAGCCAATACCTAACCTCATTTTCGCCATTGAACAGTATGAAAAATTTCTCATCCACCTTTCTAAGAGGTCCAAGGTAAACATACTTTCTTATTTTTTTTACCATTTTCATTTACCCTGTTGAGGGAATCTAGCAAACTAATGCAGCATAACTACAGTGGGGGAAAAATTGAACTACGATCCATCTCTGTTTCTTTGCTATTTCTGCTTTGATAGCCTGAATCCAAACATGTAGGAAATTGATTGAAAAACAGGTCAAGTGGGTGTGTGCTTACTTAAAGTAGGAACTAAAGGATTTGTCAGAGGTACACTAAAAATGATTTAAGCTGTCCTAGTAGGACCTGAGTAGGAAAATGCTCCCATGCTTACAATTCTGTCACAGGTGAACTTGATGCAGCACATGAAGCTCAGCACCTCACGAGACTTTAAGATCAAAGGAAACATCCTGGACACGGTTCTTCTTCGAGAGGATGGGGAGGATGAAAATGAAGAGGTCGGTGCCTGCTTCTTCCTGGAGCACATCAAGCCCCAACCACTCTTCTTAGCTGGTTGTTAGGATAGTAGCCTATCTGGGAGCAGCCACAGATTAGTGGAAGGGCAACAACCAACACACACAGAAAGGGCTGAAAGGTGGTCAGGCAAAGATGAAAGCTAAGGATTCTCAAGAGAAGGGTTGTAAACTTTGAACCATACAAAAATCCTATGCAGTTGCCCAGACTTGTATACATTTTTGGTAGACATTATTGGGAACAGGGCGGTGACAAAACAATGTCTTGCTATGGGTCCTCTTTCCCTATTATCTTTGGAACCATTGGACAGCGACCAGCTACAGCATTCTGACTCAAACCAGTTTACTTCCTCGTATACCATGCCCTCATTCAAAGTAGGGCCACTCTGATTTGAGTAAGCCTTCCTTCAATTCATATTGGTTTTTTTTTTTTTTTTCCTTTTTGTCTTTTTCCGTGTCCGGCAACGGATCGCAACCCTCAGTGTCGCCCCCGTACCGGACCGGGACCAGCAACAGGATCGCAACCCTCGGTGTTGCTCCCGCGCCTCGCTCAGCCAGTGAGCGGGAACCGGCCTGTATGTGGGATCCGAACCCTCGGCGGGAGTGCCACCGTGCTTCCCAAGCGGCGCACTATAGCAGTGCGCCACTGGGCCGGCCCCATATTGGTTTTGTATCCTCCTTTTCCCCTCTACTTTGTTCCTCTGCCTTTACAGCTTTACCAGTTACAGAACCTCACCCACACCCTTCACATCTTTGAAGCAAAGCCCAATGTTTCCTTACCTCTAGCACCTAAAATTTTCATCATCTTAGGCTTGTCCAAGAAAGAAGTAGCAAATCCTTTCAAAATTGGAATTTTATGTAAAACACCCTGGATTTCTGGCTTCTTAAAAGTTTTAACCTGCATTCTTCAGATTATCACATTCCAGGCCCTAACGCACCTGCCCCAACTACTCCCTTTACCTACTTGGCATTTGAGTTTTGGAGGGTCATGTAGTATTTTGATGCCTGAGGCTTGTTCTCTGTCATCTTGTCCCATTAGTCTCCTCAGTGTAACTAAAGTCCTAAGAAAGGAGTTGGCATTGCCTTATTTTACTTTGGAGGCCTCCCCTTCTTCAACATAACCACCTCCCATGAGTGGGAAAGGGGGGGAAAGCATGATTAACACAGGCTTTGACGAGAGATAAAGGGGTATTTGTTTGTTTGTTTGTTTTTATTTTCACTGCCTCAGAGCAGTTTTATCATGTTAGAGCATTACCTCTCTCCCCTTCTAGGGCACTGCATCAGAACACAGGGGACAAAACAAAGAACCAGCCAAGAAGAAAAGGAAAAAAGAAATGAAATGCCTGAGTTAATGTGAACTTTGGGGCTTCTGCTTCCTTTTACCCAACAAGCAACAGTGTCCCTTGTCCTATAGCCCGCCTGCTCTGATGCTGGTATCTTGGTTCTGAACCCATTGAACTCAACTGCACCTTCAGTTAGAAGGAATCTTCTTAGCAGGTCCTGCTGCTGAGAAAGGGGCCTTACACAAGCCCTTTTGCAAAAAGCACAGCTGAAAGCCTGAGTTTGGGAGCCTGCACCGCCCCAGTGAAGCTCCATGGGAGCAATACAGAGCCTCCAGGCAGAGCTATGGTCCAGGCTGGCTTCGTTTTTCCAAGGAGCCTTTGGTGAGTTCAATTATCTGGTAAATATCCAGCGCTTCACCTGAAAGATAGTGCAGATTGGTTAGGATGCTTTCAGGAATTGGAACTGAGAGCTCAGAAGTAAGAAAAGGAGTTTAGTGTTATGATCAAAAAAGGGTGGAAGGGTTGAGAATGATTGCCAGGAATGGTAATGTTACATGTTTGGAGGATCCATTCTCTTTTTGTATAAAATAGTTTGTCTTAGATACGTTTTAAATAGAAAATAAGTTTTCTGACATACATGTTCAGCATTTAAACACAGTTTCATTTTGGTTTTTTACCTAAGAATGCACTTTGACTTAATACAATAAATTCTCTTTAAACATTCCTGTTATGGTTGAAGTGTGGACAGATATAAACAGAATAGTTGAAGCTCTGGAATCTTCTTTCATTTGCCATGAATACCTTTCTAGAAACAGCCATCCCTTTGTGATTCTCCCCCCTACCCACCCACTTTTTTTGGTGGCTGCGTGGTTTAGGGATCCAAACCCTTGACCTTGGTGTTACTAATGCCACACTCTAACCAACAGAGCCAACTGGCCAGCCCCTCTTTGTGATTTGAATGTCATGTTCACTTTGGACCTATGGCATGGGTCAGAGTGGATTTCTTCTTCACTGGGGGTTTCAAGGTTCCTGTTATCCAAGACCACTTTCTAGACCACCTCTCATCCTATGCCTAACAAGGAACAAATGTGTTGTGCTCACCCTGGGGAATCCCGTATCTCCTTTCCATCCCAGTTGGGTTGGAAGGGGTTTTACAATCCATGGTCACTTCCTTCCTGAGGCACTGGTCAATATCGACTGTACTGAAAAAGGCGACTGACTGGGGCAAGTCATTCAGACCCAGTTTGTAGGCAAACATGCACCTGAAAGAGACCCAATCTCTTTTCACAGTCATGCCTCTACAGTGAACAAAGCCTTGTTACTTCTAGGAGAGATGACCACACTATCACTTAGAACACAACCTCCCCTGGACACCCCTCCCTACATCCCCGTTCATTTAGCTAAGCCAAGGATGTCAAAGGGCTACTAGCACTGTCTTCCATCTAGCAGCTTAACACCTGCCACTAAGACACTAAAATGCAATTATAGACTCAACACACTTTTTTTCCAGTTTGGTACACTTTATTGATATTAAAAAAAAAAAAAGACTTTCAATTATCGGACCAGAGTTTGAGGGACAAATGAGGACTTTGTTAGCTTTGTTAAACATAACCCCCATGAGATGATTCAAGAGGGCAATGGCAATGATGTTGAATATCATAAACACTCATTTATTTCCCCATTATTCCAGAATAGGTCATTGTTCCCAAACTGGTTCTGAGTGGCAGATCAACATGGAACGGTAATATCAATTCATCCATATGAACTAAGAATTTTACTACAAGAAAATACAACTTGATATATAAAATATATATTTTTAAAATTTGAGTTTCCCTATTAACAACATTTTCTGTTAGCAGAATAACAAACTTTGGCACTTAAGAAACATTTATGGGGAAAAGAAAAATATCTGAATTTTCTGTCATTTGAAACAATTCAAAACAGAAAAGTGTATACCTAGGGGAGCACAATTTGGAACAACTCCCCTCGCCTCATGATTACTTCAGTCAGTGATCTAGTCTTGGCATATGACACTTCAAACCCAAGAAATCATTTTTAAAAGTTGAGGCCAATCTTTTTAGGACTTCCATAGGTTTTTTAAAATTAGAGATAAAAGCTGAAACATTCATTTCTGGGAAGATGAAAACTCAGCTGCTCAGCCTGGCCCAAGGGGATGTCACCCAAAGCCCCACACAGGAGCACATGGCCAGGCCAGGGAGGCCATGGGCCCCGCGTACCTGGTCAGGAGATTGGTGATCTGCAGGGCCAGGGCAGCGCGGTAGCGGTCCTCTTCCCTTACCAGGTAGCGAACTTCATCGTGGATGCTGATACAGAAGCGCCCATCGATGGCAAATTCCTCAAACAGCCACTTCATGGCCACAAGCATGAGGTGCAAGTAGTCCACAGCAGAGCTCTGCACCACCCAATTCACACGGCTAGTCATAAACTAGGGAGGGAAGGTGGGCACAGGTGAGGGGCTCTGCCAAACGCCAGTTAACTCTGGAGTAGGGGATGGTCCAGGAGCCCCAGGGAAACTCCACTCTAGTCCCATCTGCACACATTGATGAGGTCCAGAGAGAGCCCTGCCCTCCCTGTGCCTCCTCTCCCCATACTCCAAAGGTAGCAAGATACCTCCCCCTGGACAGCTGAGGGCTCAAGGGCCCGACTGATGCGGCAGCCCAACACTGGGGTACATGGTGTGTCAGACGTGGCAATGCTCTCCAGCTTATTGAACATTTCTGACTCTGTGCCCCCCATCCACGCTCGTTCAGCAACCACCTCCCACTTCTTCCAGCGTGACCTAGGAGGCCAGGAAGAAAGAGAGGGCAGGCTTTGTCTTTCAGTATCTCCTAGCTAAGAAAACAAAGCATTCCAGCTCTTCCAGGGCCAGCCCAGATCCCTCCCTCCATCTTTAACACACAAAAGGTTCTCACTTCCTTGAAGCTTCTCTCTGGATCTTGCGCAGATCCTGCAGGGAAACCCAGCCATCCTCAGTCATGTCCACGGAGAGATCCAACTCCCTCACCAGCCACTCCCCTTCATCCGACAGTCGATACCTGGGAGTAGTGTTACCACCATCATTCCCATGGGAGTGCCTTCTCCGTGCCACACCTGGCCTAGAAGTGTTCACATACCACCTCACTCAATTTCCAAAGCCACCCTGGAGTCATACCTGTCCCCTACAGGTTTTACTTCAGAGGAGGAAACAAAGACTAAGTGACTCGCTGGGGTCATGCAGCTAGGAAGAGATGGAGCCCAGACGGGAACCAAAGCTTTTGTTGCCCCAAAGCTTGGGCTATACATACACAGCAGTCCAATAAGGGACAGACTCCAACACAAGAGCCATCACTCTTCTTACTGTCCTAATGCCTTAGACACTGAACTGCCCAATGACCTCAGGAGGCAACAAGAGCTATCACTCCAGATTTGGGGGCTGGGGGTGAGAAGAAGCTACTCTTTGAAGAGGAGAAAGGAGAACATATAGCCAAGCCTGGCCTACCCTTCTCAGTTCCCACTGCCCAGACTCCCAGCTTCAGTCCAACCTGCAGACATCACCAGGTTTGTCCCCTAAAGGCTCCAGAACCATGTCACTCGCCTGCTTAAAGGAGCTTCCCCACCATCTGGCTGCAGTCCGAACTCCTCTGACACCTTTGAAGGTTTCCACAGCTAAGGCCCATCCTCCTTTCATCACTGCCCTCTTGCAGTGGAGACCGACACACACTGAACATAGTGTGAGCCTCACCCAACCCCACCTCATCCAACTATGAGGCATGGCCCAACTACTCTGGATAATACTCAACTCCCCTTTCCTACATTTATTCAGTCATCACTACACTGTTTATCATTTAACTTTCAGTCTTTCAAGAGATGAGTTTCCATGGTGAGTCAGCTAATGAAATGTGGACACTGTATTATACCTAAGGAAATTATAAATATACCTCTCCTCCCTCACACTTCAGGATCCTCCAAGGAACTTGCTAAGGCCTTGAGCACACAGTAGGTAGTACTATCAGGGAAACAAACTCGAGTTAGGCTAGAAAACTGGAAGCCTGGCAAGGCTTTATCCTTTATGAAAATCTACACTCTACACTCTCCAGTTTCCTATAGTACTCTCTCGTTAAAACCCTAAACCTGTCCCCCTCCACTTGCTCTCATTCCCTGTAGGCATTTGAGTTTGCAAGCTTTACAGTATTGCTTATGCTAACCAGAGCTGTTGACATGCTACCAGTTGGTGATGACATACCAAAAGTACAGCTTTACTCCTATGAGGGAAAACAGTTTAAGGCCAACTAAAGCATATGTCACCACTGAAGGACAAACCATCCTGGAGCTAGGTCACAGAGGTTTAGAGGGAGAGCGGCTAGGTAAGGGCTCAGGTAAAGGGCAAGAGACAGAAAAGATGGGAAGCAGTAAAGGGCAGTAAAGCAGGCCTGAGATCCTGGGTGTAAACACGGATGGGAGAGGCACCCTCACCGGCGGAGGCCCTTGGTGATGGTGTACATCTGCTGGGCCTTCTCAGCTGCCTCCTGCCGTGTGAGCCGGTGGTTGAACTGCATTAGTAAGCGCTCAGCAAAGGGCTGCCCAGCCCCATAGATTCGTCCATAGTTGAAGATTTTGGCATGCTCACGGCTGATGCCCACTGTGGTGGCTGTCTTACTGTGCAGATCAGTGCCCCTGCTCTTCCTGCCCTGCAGTGTCATCCATCCAAAGGCTGTGCAGCCTGGAGGACAAGGCAGGAGTAAGAAAGGAAGCTCAGAAGCATTCTGCCAAGTCATTCACCTGGGCCATGAGGGGTTGGGCTGACTCCACCCTCACCCCAGCCTCGGCTCTTGCTCACCATGCATGCCAGCAAAGCGGGCGTCTCCAAGCACAGCTGCAATCCACAGCTCCTGTGAGTCCACATCAGCACCCACAAGGACATAGCCGGGTGGGGCCTGCACCATGGCTTTCAACTCACTGCCTACTCGGTCAGGCTGCAGGAAGAGTGCACTTAGATACCCAAGTGAGATGCCTCCTACCTCATTCCTGGAGCCAGACTTAACTGAGAAAATACTAGGGCCTTTTTTGCGGGGATGGCTTTAGAGAATGCCAGATAGCACTACTCCAAACTCCACAGTTCCAGGGACAGCCACCTATCAGCAATGGGGACGACAGGTAAAGAATCCCTACTTTATACCTGGCCCTATGCCAGGCCCCTCACCTACCTGGCCTCATCTGAACTCCATGAGAGCTATATTATGCCTGTCATTGTCTGGCCAGGAGCAGGTGCACAGAATACATTTATTGCATTGGACAATAGTCATGAAACCAGATTTGAATAGTCTTGCCTGACCCAGTTCTTAGGTTCCTTTTTATGCTCCTAGCTACATCTCTAAAGGCCCTCTAAAATTCCAGTTTCAAGAAAGCTAGGAGAAGAGGAGAGTCCAGAAGAGGAGAAGACACATACCCGGGCATTGCTGGCAGTGAGCCATGTGGGCTCCACAGCCCGACGGGTGATGGTACCGGCAGTCACCACCTGGGGTAGGATGGCCCCATAGCGGCCTTCCTCATCATAGTTGGGGTGCCTGGATGGGAGAAGATGAGTCTCAGCAGCACTTTGCTTTAGCCCTAAGACCCACCCCACTCAGTTCTCCTATACCCACAACCACTTGGCAGGCCATTACCTGGTCACAGCACGGGGCAGAGCCGACCTGGGTAGCCATACCACCATCTGGGAGCTGTGGGACAGACAGGCTGAGGCTCAACACAGCCACGGGGAACAGAATCTACCCTCATCCCACCATGGCCCTCACCTGCCCAGCTTTAGTGTTGCTGTGTTCCCTCACTGCCCTCTTCTTACTACCTTCACTCAGACCTGGGGCCCTACAATACACTAATCAGGGCCATATGCCACTGAGAATTGGCTAGGCCACCGAGGCAGCTTCTGCCCCTCTCCTGGGATATCCATGAGGTGCCCCTGCCACCACCGCCTCTTCCCACTCCCAGGGCAGATTTCCACAACCACTTGGAAGTGGCTTCAAGATGAATTCATTTGTCATTCCCAGACTACAGGACCCGGTTCCCAGCCCCCAACAGAGCTTACGGGCCACCAGTCCCCCATAGTTCTCTGCCACATCCCATGGCTCCAGCAGTTACACCAAGGAGTTCTGATAGAGCTGGGAGGAGCCATCGAGGTCCTACAGTACCACTCTTTTTACATAAACAAGGAAACTGAAGCTGGAGAGGCAAGAGACTTGCCCAAGTTCCATGGCATCAGCACCCTAAGAAGCCAGGCCTCTAAACCATAGCTAGGCTGTCTCTCTGGCAGCCCAGGCTGAAACAGGGACCCCTGCATTGGAAGAGAAAAAGTCCCAGGGCTGCAGAAACCTAACCAGGGGTAGGAACAGGCCTGTTTCTGCTCTTTCATGGTGGCCCACCTGATACGTTTATGGGCATTTCTCCAGAAAGAAATCATTTTGTTGATTTCCAGGGCACGGGGTCCACTGGCACCTCCTGGGCCTGCCTGCAAGGTGCCGTCCTCCATCTTGGGCAGGAAGTCCTTGGCAAAGGGGCTGCCTACATTACAGCTGTTACCATCCTGGAGAGGGCAAAAGAAGCAGGGGCTGGAGACAAGTGGCAGACTCCTGGGTGGGGAACTGATGAGGGCACCTGGGCTCCTCCCAACAGAGCCCAGAACCTCAAGCATTCAGTGAGGCAAAGCCCTGATTGCATGACATACACAAAGACACAAACAAACCTGACTTCCCTCATAATGACAGCAGTCAATAGAACCTATCATGTACCTGATGTGGCACCACTCAGCATGCCCCACGTAATTTAATTCCACCACCATGCTCCTTGCCACCCAATTTTCAGAAGAAAAACAAAAAAGCTCAGAGAAATGATGATATTTACCAGGAATCACACTCTGTCCCACTCCTACTGTCATTCCCACAAAAAGGTCACTTTCCTGGTGTGAGTCACTCTGGAGGCCTGCTGTGGGCCTTGAGCACAGTGAGGACACCACAGGACAGGCTGTGAACTAGGACACACACCTTGTGAGGCAGCTTGAAAAACCAGCAGCCAGGGATATCCACTTCGTTGTAAGGTCCGTTGCCATGGTGATAGGTGGGCTGGCTGGTTTTGGGGCCACCAGCAGCAGTCTGTGGGGGTCACACATCTACATCAGGCCCTGTTCTAGCACCTGCATTCAGCAAGGGCCATGGGGTATGGAAGGTGGGAAAAAGGCCTGAAACTGAGCAGGTAAGCTGGGAAATGACAGGATGGCCACGAGGTGTCAGGCTTCCTCCTTGGCCTCCAACATGTGTGGCACACCTGAGGGCAAGGCAGAATCTCCAACCCCCCCCCAGACCTAGGGAACTCTGGTGGGAAAGAGCTACATGGGCAAGAGGAAGCCCCTGCTGCCCAGCACCCACCCAGATAACCCCTGAGCAGGTGCCTTGCTCACCAGAGCTGCAACTTGCAAGTTCTCCATCTTGGCCTCGGCCTCCACTTCTAAGCAGCCTAATTCTTCCACCTGGATGGGCCCAGGGACCAAGGGAGTAAAGCAGGGGGCTGGGTGGGCCCAAATCTACCAACCCCTCACTGCAGGGTACTCAGACAGCCCAGGACAGTCTGGGGTGAGCATCCAGTGCCAGACTCACCCAAAAGGATATCCCCTCCCTGGGAGGAGTAGAGACCCCCCTCCCCAGAGCTCAGGTTCAGGGCCTGCCCTCACCGTCTGCCACATGGCACTGCTGTCAGTGAGCAGGAACTCCTCAGCCAGGCCTGCCTCCTGGGACTCCAGCTGCTGCTTCCCCTGTTCGAGACAGTACTTCCTGTACAGGGACTCGATGGCTCTGGGCAGAGAACAGCAGCAGCAGCCTCTGATTATTGGATGCCCTCTCTGGGCCAGGCATCTCTCTGAGGCCTTCCACAATTTGTCTTTAGTCCTCACAATCAGTTCTGAGGCAGAAGTGAAAAGCACTTTCCCTGGTTTTTGGACAGGGAGTGACAAACTGAAAATGACATAGCACACTGGTTGGCAGGCTGGGGCTCGAACCTGGTCTGACTCAAATCCAAGCTCCTCTTACACCATAGAGCTGCCACCTCCTTCAGAGAAGCTCTGGGAGCACAGCGTGGGAAGTCAGGACCCAAGGCTCCACCCCAGGCTGGCTTCTGCCTGCTCATCCAACCCTGCCTGGGCTCAAAGGAGCAAGGCTGATCTTAGTCCCTTTCATCTGAAAGCCCTCCAAGTGACTCAGGCTGCCCTGTACAGTCAAGACTCAAATTCTGGGCCAATTCAGGTGCTATGGATTCTCCCCAACACCTGTCAAAAGGTCAGGATTTGTGATCTCAAACAAGTCAACTGACTTCATAGAACTCTGTCAACTATAAAATAGAGATAACCATCCTATCTCATGGGGCTGCTTACTGAACAAACAAGGGAGGCACTGCAAAGGTTTAAAACAGTGCCTGGCACATGATTAGCACTCAAATTATACTCAAAGAAAAAAGCTCATCTCCCCTGCCACTTCCAATGTTCCTCCCTCTATGTGCTCCTGTGAAGGCAGCTATGCTTCTGGGCCCAAGAGTAAGGCCTTAGTTCTCCAACTCTGATAGTCTCAACACCCCTACCAGGGCTCTGAGGCCCAGAGGGTAAGAGTAGCCATGGAAAGAAGAACTAGAACCCAGACTTTTGGACCAAGCTTTCCACTAGCCCGAGCTGACCTTAGTTTCTCCAGCAAGGGGAAAGGGTCCCTAGGCTCCAGCCCCTTCCTCCCCTGAGCCTGAGCCTTACCTGTAGGGGCAGGCCACCCCAGCCAACTCCACAGTGGTGCCTATTATCCCCTTAGCCAGGTTGTCACGCCGCCCAGGCACCAGGTAGCCCCAGCCATGACGCTCTGAGTAGTGGAGAGGGAAGCCATCCCAGGTCAGCGCCATGAGTTTAGGTGTGATCCGCATCTGCAGGCTGAGGAGACTGGGGCCTGGGGTCCATGCAGGGTCATCTAGCCGGGGGCAGAGCTTCCGGTACCACCTATGCCCCACCAGGAAGAGAGCAGTGTCACAGTGGTGGGGAGAGAGGCAAAGTCTCTCCCCTATGATGTGCCCCACCCACCCTCCGAGGCCCCAGGGCTTTCTAGTGACCCCATCCTATTCTCACTGTCACCTCCTCTGGGATACTTTGACCAGGATCCTTAAGGAATCCCCTAGAATAATCCAAATTTCTCGAAAGGAAAGACCCTATGTCAGTCACACTGGACTAGTCAGAAGCTGGCAACCACAAGCATAACCCAGCCCAAGACTGGGCTCCATCCCAAGCTCTACTTCATCCAGAGTAACTCTGGCCAGAAGAAGAAGCACATCTGCTCTCCTCACCCACCAGACCACCCTGCTGCTCTAGAGACACACCAAGTCTTTCTGAGCTGTCTCTCACAGGCTGCTCACTAGAGCTGAGACCAGGGTGAGGTTAGCAAGGCACCCAAGGCACTCACTCTCAGGGTCATGCAAGTGCAAAGTTGGCACCCTTTCTCTCATCATCACTCTGGCTGCCCTTTCTCTCATCTCAGCCACTCTATGAGGCTCAAATGAAGGGTCACCTCCTCAAATAAGCCTTCCTGATTTCCCTAGGCAGAGTCAGAACTACCTAAACACTCCTCACTCTCTATCTCACCAGAGATATAAACACCAGCTGCACTGGCCAGTCTGCATGCCTGGCTCCTCCTAGGGAAAAGGAGCTACTGGAAAGGAGAAGCTGTGCTCCTGTCCATACCCCTAGTGGCTGCTGTGGGCCAGCACACAGCAGGCGCTCAGTGCACTGTACTGAATGGGTGCAGCAAGCCAGTGGGTCACAGTAAACAATAAGAGTATGACTGGAAGACAGAGTGGATGAATGGTAGCAGGTTAGTGCACATGTGCATGCTACCTCTATGCTGGAGCCCAGACGAGAGGTGTCCTGAGAATGGCACAGGAGCAGATTCTAGATATGTCAGGGGCGACAAGGCTCACCCAGGGTGTCCAGGAAGGTGCTGGAGCCGCTTGGGCAGAAGCTCTGTGGTCTCTTTCAGCTGCTGCAAGCAGGTACGGGCTGTGACATCTTGTTGAAACTCCTCCTCCTCACTGGGGGGGCCAGGGTCTGTGCAGGGACAATCAGGACCATGAGAAGGGACTCTCAGAAAGACCTACCCCAGTCTGCTCATCTCCAGAAGGCTGGAACAACCCCTTCCAAGGGGCCCGTGGGTTCTAAGACCTTCCCAGGGATCACCCTGCCCCATCTTCCACCCATGCTCCCCACCTTCCTGATCCAAAGGATCTCCAGGGGCCCTAGCCCCATCAATGGGTAACGTGCTGGCTGCAGCTGGCTCCTTCTTCTTCACCTTCTTTGCCTTCTTCTGCTTAAACTCTTGCAGGTCCCACTCCAGGTCCCAGAGCCAAGGGTCTTCTTTGTACCTGCAGAGCCAGTCCACAAAGGCAGGGCTAAGGCTGAGCTGAAAGCCAGGCCTCTCACCTGCCTGTCCGCTGCCTAGATCCTGCCAGCCCAAGATCTGGCTACCTCTCTCCTGAGAGCAGCCGGCAGGCATCGTTGGCCAGGTCCATCAGCGACTTCTTCATCTCCCGTTGGAGTTCCTCATATGTGCTCTGTGCTTCCGCCAGGTAACGCTCCCAGTTCTGGTTGACAGGCAAGTAGGAGACACCCATCTCCAGCATGCCGGCAAGAGTCACCGGATGGGGACACCTTGGGAGCAAACACCAGGGGCTGCCATAATGTCCACAGGAGGCAAGGCTTTTGTCCAATCCCTGAGAAGTCTGGCAAGCCTCAACCCAACAACACACATGGCATATAGCTCTAGAGTCACACACACAGGGGTTTAAAACCAGCTGTATTGCTACCTAGCTCTGGTTAAGTCACTTCACCTCTCTGAGCCTCAGTTCCTTCATCTATAAGACAGAAATAATATCATACCATCCCAAGGGGTAATGTGGGAATTATAGATCACCAAAGTGAAAATAGCTCCCACTTCCTGAGTAATGACTATGTGCCAGGCACTGTGTTAATAACACCATATGTACAAAAGATCACATATGAACCTCACAACTGGGATAGTAATGTATATCTATGTGTGTTTCACAAATTAGAACACTAAGGCTCAGAGAAACCAAGTAACTTGCCCAAGGTCAAATGAGTAGAATAAAATAGTCGAGATCTGAACTAGATCTGGCTGATGCTCGTGACTGACCACATCAAAAAACTGACTCACTAATAAACAGAGCAGGATCTACGTACAGAGAAGGTGCTAAATAAACTGGGACCGTGCATGTGAAACACAAGCACAGCCCCTTGGCCCTCCCCTCCAGGGCCTCTGTAGAAGCCTAGAGTCCTGAGCTGAGATGGACCCCACTGGACAGAGAGGGGCTCCATTCTTTGCCTAGAAAGGCTAAGGTCCCCAGCCTGAAAAAGAAACACCACCATCTGATTACAGCAGGCCGGGTACTGGGAAACCCCGGACCCCCAGGGATTCCCCCTCACCTCTCCAAGAAGAGTGGTAGCTGCTGCTGAAAAACCTCATGGGTGGCCCGCACGTCCTGGGCACAGTACTGCATCAGGTCCTGGCATAAGGTGACAGGAACGCGCTGGGAGGGCAGCCATCCCACTTCCACCGCCAGATCTCAGGGTTAGGCCTGGCAGCTGTACCTCCCCAAGTTCAGCTAGGGGTCTGCCACAGCCCATCTCCCTGGAGCCCCTCTCCAGCACCACACCTGGAAGTTCTCACGGATGTCCTTCATGCTGCCCTTGACGAACAGTTCTCGAGGCTCCTTCTCTAAGGGAGGACCCCCCACATAGAGGCTGTGCACGTCTGCCAGATTGTTGACACTGCTGATGTCCAGCCAGTCCCAGGATGAGATCTGGGGGAACCACAGCAAGGGACACAGCAGATCAGCTTGGTGTCGGGCCAGACAGGTGGGCTGATGAGGGGGTCCCAAGCACCCTGCTCCTGCCCACCCGCAGTGTATTCTCACCACTGGGCCATTGGCTTTGCTCCGGGACTTCTGGCCTCGCTGTGTGGGGTGCTGGGCCTTGTGCTTGCCCTGCTTGGCTGCTATCCACAGACTGCGCTGGAAGCTGCTTAACCCTGAGATGGCCATGTGCATGCTCATGGTGTCTAGGAAGCGCATGCGGGAACCCTGAGAAGTGGGAAGGGGACCCATGGTAAGCTCTAAAATGCCACACAGCAATAAGGGCCATTATTACTCTGTGACAACTCAGGCCCCATTACCAGCAATGCCTTCCCTAGCCACTGAGATCAGGGCTCCTAGCCCACTCCATGCCAGAACCTGCAGTTGGCCCCAGGAACCTTACCTGGATCAGGTACTGATCCTTGATATAGGCTCGGTCAAAAGAAACGTTGTGTCCCACCACTAACTGCTCCTGCCAATCCCTCTGGGTGGGGCTGCTGGCACTGGTAGGGACATCCAGGGGAATGAGGTCAGCCGGCGATAGCTGGCTGGTCCAAGAGTAACGCTCTTCCACCAGCCGCCGGCTGCACCAGGAATACCTAAGGGAGGCGAGAGGCAGGCAGGTTCACCATGGAGGCATTAAACTTTTGCTCCAAAACACCCACTGCACACCTACCACCACATGCCAGGTCCTGTACTAGCAGCTGGGGACACAAGCAAGACCAAGGGGTGCTCCTAACCCTCACAGAGCTACAAGTTGAGGGGAGGAGTGTTGGAAGGGACGGGTTACAGAAGCTTCTTTACTTTAAAACTTCCACAGATAAAAATGGAGCAATGTGCTACAGTACTGGGTGCCACATGCAGGTGTTTTAGCCTGGACTATCAAGGTGTGTGTTAGGCCTAGTGTTCACTGAGTCTGTGTTTGGTTCTGAGGTGGTTTATTAACATTATCAACCCCTTGTGTCTATAAGCACAAAACAGCTAGTGTTCAAAGTGCTAGTAAAGGAAACAGACAATAATAATAGAACCAAAAGTGGAGATTTTTTTTTTTTAATTGAAAGTGGCAAAAAAACAAAGAGACAAATGCTGCATACATATACAGGATGAATCATCTGACAGCTGGAAAGATTCTGAAGGACAAAGAGAAAATCACACACCTTGTGGAGGCAACCACCTCAGTGAGAGCAGGGAAAGTGTCAGAATGAGAAAATATATGTACATGCGCTAGGGTGGGGGTGGGAGGGACAGAGGATGAGTGGTGCCTGTTGGGGGCCTGCCACTGATTCAGGAAAAGGCTTCAGTTTGTTCAAGATCCAAGAGGGTAAGTATAAGGGAATGGCCTCCGAGCACATGCCTGCTGCAAACCACAGACTGTTTCAAAGGGTCAAGGCCCACTCAGCATCAAAGTGAGTGACGAGGCCATATGTATGGACAACACAGCTGCAAAGGAAGTCCCTGCAACCTTCATGGAAGGGAGAGGGGTAATCTGCCTCTACAGTTTCAATAAACATGAAACTAGTTTCTTTGCGGGGGAGAGGTAGAAACAGCAAAAAACGGTTCCTAGTTTTAAACCTGGCAAAATCTAACTCACACTCCAAATGGTGGGAATAGGCCAAGGGTCTCAAACTGAAACTTCCTCCCTTTTTTATTCAGTATATCAAAGCTCTTAAAAACAACACAGAAGAGGCCAAAGAATGCCAAATATTTGAGGCTATGGTGCTGACAAGGATTTTACAATATAAAGAATACTGGTGTCAAGACCCAGGTCTGCAGCTGTGCATGAAGCCATCTTATTATAGATGGCTTAAACAAATTTATTTGTTATAAAAAAGAAAGCCAAAATGTAAACACCTCAGGTAAATTTAAAATGAGCTGGAACCCATGCCATTAATATTACAGTTTTCCTGTGAATCTTAGATAAATGCTGACAGTATGAGTGATGTTCCTCTAGCCTGATGACCAAAGCCCTTACCAACTAGCCTTTGGGAAGCTGCCCTGGGGGAGGCTCAGGGTTGGCCAAGCCTTCCCCCTCCCACTGGAAATTGTAGGCTGTTCAGGTACCTAATGTTACACAGCATGTCCAGGTTAAAAGTGGACTGCTTTTAAGGGCACCATCTGACCCCTGCCTCTACCCACCACAGTCAGACTCCCAGGAGGAAGGTCCCAGCATGAGCCTACACCTTAGCAATGACTTCTGCCATCAGGCAAACTAAGCAATGCCCCCAGTACCACTGGCAAGAATGGAATGAGAATGAGGGCAGAATGGGAAGCACAAGGAGGGAAAGGAAGATGAAGAGAAAAGAAAAGGGGACTTTAGGTAAATTGGACAAAAATGACTAACAGATCAAAAAACAAATCTTTCTTGTCACTGGTTTCCTAATTTTCTTTCAGCCACCAAAGCCTACTTTATCTTTTCAAATGATGGCTGGTATTCCCCTTTACTTTGACCATCAAGTTACATAATAAGTACTGTGATTCTTATCGTGACTAGAACTAAATCATTACGGAATCATCTACTTTTGCTCTTTTCAGCCATTAATGCCTACCTTATCTATTTAGCCATGTTTTCATCATTTTCAACTGCATATTTAACATTTCGCAGCTTTCTTTACAAAGATGTAGCTTCCAGTAGGAATAAAGAAACTGCCAACTTTTTGCTGGCCATGCCTGAAAGTATTAAGGTTGTAAATAGTATTTTAATCCTGGAATGAAGAATAAAAAAGGGGAGAAACAGTACTGCCATCATTGTTTGAAAAAGAAACTTGGGTAGCATTTAGAAAGTTATTTAAAAAGAAAAGAGAGTGACTGGATATACCCGTTTGAAACCAAAATGCCTGGTTGGGAGGCTTGGGGAAGGGAGCAATGTTTCTCAGCTGGAGGTGTTGAACCGAATGCCACCTCAAGATTTTTGGAAACACTGGGGGAAGGCGGGGATTTGGTTTGGGATTTATGCAACAGGCTGGGGATACTAAATGTCTTATACTGCCTGGGACAGTTCCACAAAAGGGAGAATTCTCCTGCCTGAAATAAGGAATAGTGTCCCCAAACAGAAACACCATTCCAATGTCTTTTCCGACTAACTTCTCATGAAGCTATTAATAAAGGCACCACATCATGGTGATCTCAAGTAGCCTCCCAGGTCTCAAGCACAACACTCTACTGTGATTCTCTGCGTGGCCCTTATCACCACCTGACATTTGCTTGGGTGTTTAACTGCCTGTATTTTCCCACCAGAAAGTGAGCACCACGGAAGCTGGGGTCAAGCTTCTTTAGTTCACTACCACATCAGCAGTCCTTAGATAAGCATCCAGCATGTAGCAGGAGCCTAGTAAATGTTCACTGAACCAAACTAGTAAGCTGGGCCCCCATCCCTGGACCCTACTTACCAGGCCAAGGGGGATATGGCCACCGCCAATGTGGGGCAAGTTCCCTCTGCCAAGCAGACCTCCACGTCGAACACCAGGGCCCGCTCCTCGGGGATGGCCACGGGTACGGCCTCCCCCTCGGGGCCGTATCGGGTCCAGCCCTCCGCCCATGCCCAGTTCGGGGGCTGCGGGGGCAGCTGGGCCTGCAATAGCGAGTTGGCCGCCTCTAGGTAGGGCAGGCTCTGCTTCTGGGCCAGGAGGCGGAAGTGCTGGTCCAGGTTGCCCCCGTAGAGGGGCGGCAGGTGCAGCTCCACGTCGGGCAAGGGCACGGCCGGCTGCCCCCAGAGCCCGTGCTTCTGCAGGTGCTCGATGCTGCGGCGCACCGCGGCTTCGCCGGGCATCTCCCCTCCGTGCCCGAAGATTTGCTCGTGCAGCCCTCTCGAGAGCATCTGGATGTGCAATGGGTTGTGCCGTAGCTGCCCGCCTTCCGAGGATGGCACTTGCGGCTGCTGCGGCCCGTCGCTGCAGACGGGGACGGAGACCGAGCTGGAGACCCAGCGCCCCGGAGCTGGGACCGGCCCTGGCCCGACGGTGGCGCCGGCCACTTTCTTCCAGAGCAGGCGGCTCATGGTTGGTGCAGGGAGCCCCCCGATGGGAGTCAGAACACCTGGCTTTGGGCTCCAGCTTGGCTGCTTTTACTGGCTGAAAAACGTGGAGAGAGACGCGTCCAGTCTCTGTTTTCCTGTCAGTGAAATGGATCCGACCATGCCTGCCTTCCACCCACAAATCCTAAAGGAGATAGATAATATAACGTGTTATTTATTATATATTATGTCCTGTATTAATAGCCATCATTCCTTGAGAATTTACTGCTTTCCAGGCACTGTGCCAGGCGCTTTAGGTACATTTTCTGGAAGCCTCAAACAACCTTGGGAAACATCAATACCCCTCCTGAGGGAACTGAGGTCCACGTAGGTTCATCAGTGAACTTGGGGAAGCTGAAGGCAGCGGTTAAGAGCTTCTGGAGTAGGACGCCACGGGTTTGAGCCCCGGTTCTGGCTCTCACGAGCCGTGTGACCTTGGGCAAGTACCTTAGGACCCCATTTCCTAATGGGGTTACGGATTCTACCTGCCATACAGGACTGTCGTTTGGGTAACACAGGGCGCATATGCGGCGCGACTCTGCCCTCAGCAGGCCCTCGGCAAATGGTGGCTGCCATTATCGCGACCACCGCGGTTCGACAGCCTAGGCCGAGAGGTGCCAGCGCCCGGATTCGAACCCGCTCGGTGCGCCGCCGTCCCCCAGGGCCCCAACCCACTCCCGGACCGTGGCCCAGCGGGCCGAGGGCGCCCCGCAGGGGGCATTGGCGGCCGCCCCCG